AAAACAACAAGAAACACCCCCAAAAACCAGAGGCATGAAAGACATGGTGTGTCATGGAACTGGTGTGGTCAGGATGGTAGAAACTGAATGTAGGTGAGTTGGGAAAGGTGGAAGCAGAGGGCACCAAGGCAGATAGGTGGTGGAAGACTCCACTTACCAGCTGTTTGAATTTTTTATTGATAAAATGAGGATAATACTAACTTACAACAAGAAACACCCCCAAAAACCAGAGGCATGAAAGACATGGTGTGTCATGGAACTGGTGTGGTCAGGATGGTAGAAACTGAATGTAGGTGAGTTGGGAAAGGTGGAAGCAGAGGGCACCAAGGCAGATAGGTGGTGGAAGACTCCACTTACCAGCTGTTTGAATTTTTTATTGATAAAATGAGGATAATACTAACTTTGCCCTTCTAGGATTGTCATATGATTTGACTATACCAAAGCATATAGTCTTGGCAATATAACTTGGCACCTAAATGCTAAATAGCGCTATCTATTATTAAGAACAATGCATAAAAAATACTGAAAGTATCTTGTTTCTCAAAGCAATTTTTATTCCGTGCTATGGAATAAAATTAATTTTAAGTATTTTCCCTTTTGTCAGAATGGAGAAACGCCATTCTTTTTGGCTGTTGAAGGAGGTCATGAAGAATGCAGTCGAATGCTCCTGTCAGCAGGAAGTGATGTCAACATCCCAAATAAAGTACGTGCTCTGGGCTGTGTTCACCCACATAGTCAGAGGATGGTTTAAGAGAATTCTTTGGAACTCTGTTCCTCAATTGATCATTTATTTGTTTTTTTAATAAAATTAATACTTATAATAAGCCATGTTTTGCACAAGGATTAATGATTCACTTCAGATAGCCTCCATTGATGTCTCCTCAATAGCAATGACATTCTTCTCATTCATTTGGGGAGTGACTGAAAATGAGGCACAAGGAGCAAGGGTTTGTCATATCTTGCTGACAAGACACTCTTACTCTGCTTTGTTTTCTCCATAGCAACTAGCACATTCCTGGCTCATATGCAACAGATGCTGAAAAAGAGATTTACTTTGAGAAAACTCCATTGGTTATCTTGGGGCTTGAAGAATGCAGGATGCTATCTTCCTTTAAATATAGAATACTTTTGTATTTAGTCATGGGGCTAACAGACTTTGAAACTTTCAAGACTACATTATTATCTTAATTTTTTTTTAAGATTGGGAAACTATAATCTAGAAAAGCCAAGAAATGAACCCAGGATCATACAACAATGGCACTGCAGATGCCAACTCATGACTGCAGAAGCTGTGTCTTCTGACAAGTATTAAATTACAATGAAAAATAACTCATGACAGAAATTCAAATGGTAAGAATATATGCTAAAAAGTGACTTTCTCTCCAACCTCACATCTGAATTTCGTACCTCGAAATCAATATCATTTGAAGATTACTTAGTCTCCCAGGAAGTTTCCATGCATTCCACGGACTTGATTAAACATGCATTCATACACACACTAGCAGCACATGAATGGCAGTACACGCTGTAGTTTTGGCTGCTCTTCACTTTGATGTTGTTTTTATTTTAATGCCTGATATCCTAGAGATCTTTTATTAACACGATGTACAGGCATTCATTTATAAAAAGTACAAAGTTAAGCATTAGAATCAAGAATAAATCCCAAACAGACAATGACTTATACCCTTGTATTCTACTGGTGGGTGTGGATACTTGTATAAACTTTCTGAAAAGCCGTTTATTACTGTCTGTTTACACATGCATGGGAAATTATAATAAGTAAATAATCTAAAAGGAGGAAAAAAATCTGTCCTCCCTTGAGATAGAGGATGAAGTTACTATCAAGGACCAAAGAAATCATACAACCTGTAAGTGCAACAAATAGTAGGAGAAGGCTGGATAAAATTTAGTGTATTTATCTCTTGGAAAACTACGTAGCTAATAAAAATTATAATGATAAATACTACAGATATATTTCATTATAGAAAATATCCATTAGAGTACACTAATTAAAAGTAATGTAATAAATATTAATGCTATGTTAGATTTATGTATACATGAACAAGATCTTGAGAGAGAATATAAAAGTAGTGAGTTGCTTCTAATATTCAAGATTAATTAATATTTTATGTTTATGAGTGTTTTGCTTGCATGTATGCAAGTGCACCATGTACATGCAATACCCATGGAAGCCAGAATTGGGCATAGCTGGTTGTTACCCATCATGTGGGTTCTGGGAACTGAACCTGGGTCCTCTGCCAGAGTAGCCAGTACTCTTAACCTCTGAACCATCTCCAGCCCCTACTGCAAGGTTATTGATGCAACAAACAGAATTAAGAACTCGGTTTATGGAGGCTCTTCTTCCCCCGCCCCAGTCCCTGGGAGGCCTCCCTGGTCAACAGGGCTCTGAGGCTCACTCCATGGTCAGCACCTCCCTTGTTTCTCTAGTACTTATTTTGTTGTCATTAGGATTTGACTTTGTAATGATTTTTCACATACACGAGCTCACACTCTCCCCTCTTAGGATAGCAGGCTCCCATCTTCCATGGCCTTTACAGTCCTGGCCTCAGCAGCTTTGTTGCAACCTCAGGTAGATGGCACTTTTCAGAAATCCATTTCTAGCTTCTATTAGAGCTGTGGCTTGAATATGATTTGTTATCCTCCAAATCAGCAGGCATTTGATCCCCAAAGCATTATGTTAATTATAGTTAATTAAGCAAAAATTTAATCTGGCCATGATGTTTAGAGGTACAGCATTTGGGAGGTGATTAGTTCATTGGGGTAGGGCCCCCATAATTGTATCCTAGTGAGTTTGTAAGGAGAGGGAGAAAGACTGTGTCGATAGAGATATATATGCACATGTTCCTGTTGTGATGATTCTGCCAAGAGAGTCCCTTATCAGAGTCTACGCCATGAGATTCGTACTTCTTCAACAACTGAGTAAAGTAAACTCAGTTCCTTATAAATTAGCTAACTTCATGTACTTCCACAGTAATGAAAACCTGACTAATACCACTTTAAGAGTTTTCTGCCTTAATTTACTAGCATAATCTCAGCACCCATTGAGGTCCATACCTGTTTCCTTTTAGCCCAGAGGAAATGCCTAGGAAATAAGCAGTGTAGAGAAAGAAGCCGGCCACATGGACCCACACCAGCACAGATGTTCTGGGTATCTTTTGCTTTTATAGCCTTAGATGATTGATGCTGCCTTGCTGGCAGCAGCTTGGTTTGGTCTCTAGGAGAAGGCTTTTGTGTTGTCTTGTGCCTCTTTTTCTTCAAGGAGAGAAGGTTCACAGTTGAGTCATTTTTGAGGAGGTAATTGGAGTAAGATCATAGATTTAGCTGCTATCAAACTTTCTCCATTTGTGCTCGATGGGCAGGCTGTCCAGTTTGGACCACAGGTTCCCTTCAGGACCTTATCAACTGTCCTGGGTCCAGTGGTAGCTTTTGTAGACCCTACAAACTCATGCTTATGGAGACCCTACCTCATATCTTAAATGTATTTAAATAACCCTGAATTTATAATATATAAATCACTGTTAATTACTCTAAAAGGATCTTTTGCTTTTGCTTTTACAATTATTTGGCTATAATAAACCTCACCTAATTTATAATTGACTAATTTCTTAGAACACTGTGTCACACACTTAGGAATTTTCAGGAGGTTAAAAATGAAACCTACAAATAGTTTGCAAATATAATGAATATTTTATGAATATTACATTTAACAATCAATGAAGTAAGAATATGTCAATTAAATATTTATTCACTTCAATTTCGTGGTTTTCTTTTGGTGTCTTGGAACCAGTCCAGTGTTTTTTCAAGCTTCACATATTTCTCTGTCTCTTATAAAGCCTGTAAGCTCTGTATACTGTGCATGTAGATGGCTACGTAGTCCTATATCTCCTCCTACCATCAGATTCTGGCTTTGAGTTCTTCTTTGATTCAGACATTTGCTTCTGACTTAGGTGGCCTCAGCTCCTCCCATAGGTGCTTCCCTCATTCTGCCCTCAGTCTAAATCCGAGAAGGCAGGCATTTTTGGTCACTCACTAGAAAAATTCAGTGATGTTTTTAGTCATGTTTTTAGTTCACATTGTGTCTGACAATAACCAGCTACTATTATTCTTTAAATAACATCTAGAATCAATTAATTTACTCTAAAGCTACTGATATAGGGCTCTACCAGTCTACCAATCTATGAATCAATTGATTGTCTACCCTGCTGGAGTGTAATTTCAGACACCTGATAGATTTCCTTACTAATACATCCCTCTACTGTTTAACATAGTGCCTGGCATATAAGACATGTTCAATCATGTTTTATGGAATGAATAGTATGGTATTTATGATTACTATTCACATTTCCTAGCTCATTTATCTCCCCAGCATTACCATGGCTTAAGAGAAAAAGGCAGGATGAGCTGGTAGGCAAAATAAAGACCCCCTGATGTCCATATCCTAATTCCGATACCTGTGAATATGTGAAGTTATATGGCAAAGGGGAATTTCAAATAGAATTAAGGTTATAAATCAGTTGGCCTTCAAGTGAGATTACCCTGGATTATGTGATCTTAAGAATCTGTTAAAGTGAAGAGTCAGGCAGGAAGGGCCCAGGTAAATGCCACTGATTTTGAAGATGGAGGAAGCAGGTCATAAGCCAAAGAATGTAGGCAGCTTCTGAAAATCAATTCTATCCGTAGTCTCCAGAATGTAATTTGGCCCCACCAGACTTGACCTCCAGAACTGTAAGATAATACATTTTTATTAAGCCACTAAGTGTGTGGCAGCAACTTGAAGCAGTAAAGAAAATGAATTTAGGTGGTTATTCTATTTTTACAGATAAGGACAAAGAGGTGGGTCCTTGATAAGTCTGTGCCAGGCCACACAGGCATTCAGCACCACTCATACTAGGTTTCAGTCAACTGTTCTCTTACCACCTGCCCCAGTTATCTGTTGCTTTATAACAAACCAGCAAAGCTCATTGGCTTAAAACAGTGTGTTATTATAGTGTGTCAATTTTAATAACATGTAGTGTCTATAAAGGTTAAGTTTATCTGGAACAGAGTAACACTGTAGTGGAATATATGTGTAACTTAGAAACTTATTCAGAGAAGTTGAAAACATTAAAGGCAAAAGCAAAGAGGATTACATTAGACATTTGAAATAATCTTTGATTATCTGACCAATAACAAGAATTTTAGGTCCAGCATTAAACAGAGGATTGCTAGACAGACATCCTTGTGGGAGGTCTTTTTTTTTTTTTAAGTTTTGATTTTGTGTTTGCATGTATGTCCGTGTGGGAGTATGTGCATATGAGTGAAGTTACCCACAGAAGAGGGTGTTGGATCCCTGGAGTTGAAGTTACAGATGATTGTGAACTGCCTTACTTGGGTGCTGGGAACCAAACTGGAGTCCTGCAAGAGCAGTATGTGCTCTTAACTAGTCACAGTGCCTTTTGTGCAAGGTTGTGGTCCTGGAAGTCTTTTGTGTATAGTTTTTATCATTGGACATATGTAGATGAGATCCCTATTTTATAACCCCCTGGCATTATTTATTAATTGATTTGAACTGAACAAAAGGGACTCTATTTTGATTCTGACTTTATTTTATTTTATTTATTATTTTTACTTTATATGTATGAGCATATTACTTGCATGCAGGTAGGTGCACCCATGTTGTGCCCATGGAGGTCAGAAGAGGGTATCAGATAAAGTGGAACTGGAGTTAAGGACGGTTGTTAGTTGCCATGTGGGTCTTCTGCCAGTGCTCCTAACCACTGAGCCATCTCTCTAGTCCCTTTTTCTGATAACTTTCACAGCAGAATGACTGGGCTCAGCTAAGAATTCTACTTTGGGTTTGTCATATAATTACAGTCAGAGGTTAGCCAGGATTTTTGTCACGTAAAGATTTAGCTGAACTAAGTATCCAAGATGGCACACTAACAGAACTTGCAGATACTGCCAGCTGTCAGCTGGGAGGTCAGTTGGGGCACCAATTAGCCACTCTGTCTGCATCACCCTAAGCACAGCATGGCAGCTGGGTTCTAAGAGGAAGTGTTGCAAGAGCCTCTGTACAAGAGGCAGGAGGCAAAAGCTGCCAAGTTCCTTAGGGTCCCTGCTTGGAACTGCCACCCTGTCACTTCTGCCCTATCCCGTTGGTCAAAGCAGTTACAGGCCTATCCAGCTTCAAGGGAAAGAAGAAATGAACCCTAGCTGTTGATGGGGTAGTGGCAGAATTATACCTCAGCAGTGCAGGTAGGTCGGGGGTCCCAACATAGCCAAGTTGGGAAAGCAGTTTTCTACAGTACCCTTATATGGAGGACCTGCATATATTTTGTGGCAATCTTGTTATCAATCAATGGACAATGAATTCATTGGCTTGTATTATTGCCAGGTGTCATGTTAGGCTTTTGACTGAAGGTTGACCAAGAGTAGGTTGTGACTCTGAGCTGGATGTCATCTAGCTTAGGCACCAAGTGAAGATACTTGGGCACAGAGAGTGGCATGAGTCAGGAGAAGCGAGTGAATGAGAGTTATGAAAGGAATCGGGTAAAAGGACCATGAGGCAACACTTCACATGGGTGGAAATTATGCTACACTTTGAAGCCATATCTGGCAAAGAGGCATGCTGGGAATAAACAGACAGGGAGCTGGAAACCACTGAGGCAGTTTTGAAGCCAATACCAGGTCACTTATTTTGACTCAAGGAAGGGATTTGCTTGAACCCACTGTGGTAAACTTGGCTGTAGTTTATACTTCTGGAAGCAGGGATTTAACTCACATGGGCCTGAGTCATAGTGCCGTAGTGTCTCAGGTCAGACTGCTATAAAAAATAACATAAAACTTGGTGGCTCAAGCAATAAGTATTTATTTCTCACAATTTGAGGTCGGAAACCTGATACTTGGTACTGACAGGGCTGGGTTCTGGTGAGGACTCTTCCTGCTTCACTGGCAGCTGTTTGCTGTGTCCTGACACAGCCGAATGAGGACTAACTAGCAACAGCCCTTTCCTGTAAGGCCATGAATGGCATCATGAAGTTTCCACTCCCGGGAAATTGTCATCACCCTACGACTCTTCCTCCAAATCCCTTCTCATTAGGATTATTGATTTCAGGGACACATTCTGGCCACTGTGCATATGTTCCTCAGGACTCAACACCATGATAAAAGAGACCTTGATGTGACAGTGCCCAGAATAATCAGAAACACCCTGGATTTCCCTTTTTAAATAGTTGCACTATTTCATTGTATTCATTAATTACCATATGCTAAACACCAAACAGCATGCAGGATTGTAATGGGATCTCTTCTTGCCCTCTCCATCTGTCTCTTGCAGCTCAACGTCAGTGCTTTGCAGACGGCCACCAGGAATGGCCATGTATCCCTTGTCAACTTTCTTCTCAGTGAGAACATTGATCTGCAGCAGACCAGGGAAGTGAGTCCATGCCAACACAGACTTAGGTTCTGGGACTCTGAGACTGACTTTGCAGATGCCCTGGTAGACACACGTGGGGGATAAGATGCTTCACGAGGGAGGGATTTTCTGGGGGAATGCTGGCTGACTTTTTTTTTTGTTTGTTTTTGAGACTGAATCTTAATCTTGAGAAATAAAATCCGAGGGGTAAATTCTAGAAAGTCATTGACATTCCTGCCCCAAACAACATTTTTGTGCTTTAAATACTCATATTTGCTAGAATAACACTTTCTCAGGTGTCTAGAGGTGCTGTGACTCCAGTCGTGATTTCATCAGTCTGGGAAAATAATGAACCTGTTGTGAACGTGAAGAAGCGGGACTGTTCCCTTCTGTGCCCTAAAACTATCTTGTTGGTATTTTTTTCTAAAGTCAGTCCTTTCTGGCTGATTGAGGTTTTGTGAGGTTTGAATGGCCTTGGTAGAACAAAACAAAGGCCCTCTGTGCTGGAATCAGACAAGAAGCATTCCTCTCGTTTCCACTGTATTTTCATCTCTCCTGTGAGAATATTGTTTCCTCTGGTCTTGCTGAGCCATTGCTATTTATGGCACTCACTTGAGAGAAGGGATGCGATCTGAACCACGTCTGATAGTTTTTGGAGCATGGAGTTAGGCAAATTGGCTCTGAGCTTACCTGGCTCAGGCCAAGGATGCTCCCTCTTTCTCAGGAGGAGGCAGGCCCCAGCAAGGTGGGTGGCCATGGCAAAGACATCTCTTTCTTCATGCTTACTGCTTCAGGGGAGAAGGTTCTTTCTAAGCAGAGGGCTTCTAACAGTCTTCCCCTCAGGCTACCTCCACAAATGCCCCCCAGTGCCATCTGTTCCCTTGGTCACCCTCAGACAGCTTCTCACTCAGTCATGCTGCCTTACCTGTCAGTCCACTTCTCTCCTCTTTCCAGCTCTACTCATTTCTTGTCTACCGGTCCATACACTTCCTGAGAGTGAGTCTAGGTGCAGAACTCAGGAAGGTCTGTGTTCAAATTCTGCTATTCTGCTTTGTTACTGTGGTTTACAGAGCCTCTCTATGCCTTGCTGATAAAGTAGGAAATATAAAGTCTAACTCCTAGGGTTATCATGAATGACATGGTTTCTGAGAGGTTATTTATTTGTTTCAGATGGGGGGGGGTCTTACTATGTAGCCCAGGCTAGCCTGGAACTCGCTGTGTAGACCAGGCTGGCCTTAAACTCACAGACATCTACCAGCCTCTGCCTCCTGAATCCTGCGTTTAAAGGCATGTTTACCATGTCCAGCCCTGAGAGTAGTTAGTTAACCTTCTGTTGTTTGCCTATCTTTGAGCCAGGGTCTCACTATGTAGCCTAGGCTAGACTGAAACTCGGTAACCTAGACAGACCTGAGACTTCAGATCTTCCTGCCTCTGCCTGCCTCTTGAATGCTAGGATTGGAGACTTGTGCTACCTTGCCTTCTTGACCTAGGGTTTAAACAGGATGAACTGTTAGGGAAGTGAGTGCATAGTCATTTGAAGATGTGTTGAATGTGCCTGATACTATTATTTCTGTACTTGAGCAAAGCTGCACTGTCTCCTAATTGCCTGGCCTTCTATACAGCTGTGTTCCCTCTCTCTATTCTCTCCCTGAAACTCTGTTACCACCACTGGGCTGTCCAGTATCACTGGGTCTTGGACCCGTGCTCTCGCTCCTGTCTGCATACCCCTTTTTCCCTTCCCTCTCTTCCTCTACTGGATGCCCCTTACCTTATTCTCCCATAGCCTAGGTGCTTTTGCCCTCTCTTCCTTTATTGCTTCTTCCAGGGCTCTCAGCTGCCTTTTCTCCTTTGGGAGACACAGTCCACTGAAGCTGGAGGTGGGGGTGAGGAGTTGCCTGGACAGTGTGTGGTGGTGGACTCTTTTTTGTCTGGTAAGGCTGAGTAAGAGAAGAGAGGGATTGAGGAGGGGGTGATGGGTTGTAGGGGTCAGAAGGATCCAGGTGGTGTTAGGTGCAACAGACAAGTTGTTGAGCAAAAGGAAAAGATGAAGAAGCAGGCTGCTGAGGATGGCTATACCCACCAAGGGTAGACTCTCCCAGAGGAGCCCCTGAATAAGCAGGGACACTAGTCCTGCCTGGAACCAAGGGGACTGACGTATATCGATCACATCCAGTCAGGAAGTGCTGACTGCATGTCCATTTCCTCCTCTGTGGCTATTCCCATTGTCCTTTGGCTCCTTGAGACCAGTGCCCAAGGAGGCCAGAAGCATGGATCCCTCTGGAGCTGGAGTTACAGGCAGTTGTGGGCCACCCAGTGTGGGTGCTGGGAATCAAACTCAGGTTCTCCGCAAAACAGCACATAGTCTTAACAGCTGAGTCATCTCTCTAGCCCTAATTCAGTCTTCTTAATACTTCCTTATTCATATTTGAGCTCACTATCAGTTTGTCAAGGAAGTCTCTGTCTTCCAGAAAGGGCAGCCCTTCCCCTCTCCCACATGCCCCCTACTCCCCAGTACACTGACTTTTCCTCTAAAGCACGTAAACTTTGTGATTGAATATCTGTGTGACTTTTTTTAAAAGATGTAAAATCTCTGGCCCCTAAAGAGACTGACCCACAGGAAGTGCTTAGTGTGTGTATCCAGAAGGACTAGAGGACAAGAATTGAAAGGTGAAGCAGGTTTGGTTTCCACGCAGCCTAAGGATGGTAAGGATTGCTGCAGACTTACTTGGGTTGGCCACTGGAGTGGCCATTTTAATACTCAGAGATTATCAGAAAATGCCTGCTGAAATTAATTACTTTAAGATTTGAATGATGGGGTCTGGAGAGACAGCTCAGCAGTTAAGAGCACTGATTGCTCTTCTAGAGGACCTAGGTTCCGTTTCCAGCACCTACATGTGGCCAGTTCCAGGGCATCTGATACCTTCTTCTGGACTCTGCAGGTATTGCATGACACAGGTGTACTTACATACTGTTAAGGTTCAGATAGCCCCGCCCCATCACCCACAGGATCTCAAGGACTTCTCATGCTCCTGAGAAAAGGGAACCTAGCTGATAAGTGCCCTGGTCTTTGAAGTAAAAGAGAAGCAGACTTTTCTCCACTGTTTGGACAACACAGCAGGCTTCCCCTTTGATCTCTAAAGAGAACAGGTTTTAACCGTCAGGCTCTCCCACTTCCCCCCACCCAACTTAAAAAAAACCCATCTTCCCGCCTTCTGCAGGAAGCAGAAGCCTACCTTTTTAAAGGACCCCAGCTCTCGACCCAGGGCAGACATTTTCCCTGCCCTGAAGGGAATCTGCCCCATGTGTTCCTTTGCTAATAAACTCTGCTTTCTCCTTATCAACCCTATTCGTCATAGGGCTGCTTTTTATACATGCAAGCAAAACACTCATACACACACACACACACAATTTTTTTAAAAGAAATATTTAAATGATGAAGCAAGAACCTTTTTGCATTTGCTGTTTTTATTTCTTTCTGCAGCCTACTGAGTCCCCTCTTCACTTAGCAGTTATCAACAACCACATTACAGTTGTTAACAGCTTATTAAGTGCTCAGCATGATCCTGACATCTTAGATCAGGTAAGTCAGGCAGTGCAGAACATCGGGCGTTTGTTTTATGTTTTAACACTAAGTCTTACATGCTAGCAGGGAATTCTGATCAAGTTCAAGGTGCCTAAAACATTCTTGGAAATTTTTTTACAGCTTTTTAAAAACCACTTTTCTTCTGTAACCTTCACACTATCCCCACACTTTGCCTTTCCAAGAGGCAAAACTGAGATTCTGTCAGTGCGTAATTAAATTGTTCACATTTAACAGGCAGAGCTAGCTTTTAGATAAACTGTGCCAAAGTAAATTGCCAGAGGCTCAGAAACCACTCCCTCGGTGTGAAATGTTGTCCTTGGACAGAAGCCCGTCCCCATAAGAAGGAAGCTTTGTTTCCACTTCAGAGGCAGTGGTTGTGTCCTATGCTGGGAGGCAAAAGAGAGGGCTTAGAATTAAAAAAATAAATTGCTAGGAATTCAATCAACTGGGACAGAATCAAATACCCCATAAAAGCCATCCAACACCAGCTGGAGATGGGAACAGAGGCAGAACAGCAAACAATAGGCCAGCACCTCAGAGCAGGCTCTCTGCTCTGGCCTTTTGCCAGCTGCCCTCTTAAGGGGAGGCAGGGAGTGGCAAGAGGATCCTTTCCAGGGATCTGAGGCCAGAGACAGCTAAAGCTGCCTCTTTTTCAGACAAGCCTTAGTTGTGCCCTCTAGATTAGGGGGAAGCCATCAAACAGGACCACACTGGTCTAACCTAAGCTGTCTAGGTTCTCTGTTACTCTAGAGAATAACTAGGATCTTGTGTCAGGTTTCCTCCAGTTCCAGCCTCTTGGTTAATTTTTGCCTAGAGCAGGAAGAGACTTATCTCTTCATCTTCCAGCGAGGAGCCTTCCCACGGGTTTGGGGGAGAACTTCCTTGTTATTAAATGTACTTACATGTTCAAATTTTAATGTCCCAGTTCCTTCTTAAAGAGCAATTTTTCCACCTAAATATAGCCTTGTGCTCATGGGTGATTTTGGCTTCTACAATGCTGCACTGGGACTGTTTGTAGACTTTCTGCTTAGTTACAGAACTAGACCTTAGCGTTTTAAACTTTTTGTTACACCAATAATACACATATTAAATAGTAAAATTCTTATTTTCAACATAAAACATTTATGTAAAACTAGAACATAGTTTTAAAAATGCAGATGTTTTTGTAGCCCCACAAAAGAAAGATAACTTTTGTTAATATTTTGGTGTGTTTCCTGTCTTCTGGATTTACAGTAGTAGTACTGTCAAAACATGATTTTTGTTGATATTTGATATATCACACTTGTACCTGTGCTCTGTGTTGGTGTAGACTGCAGGTATGTTGAGTGATGAGCCCCCAAGGAGACGCACTGCCATCTACTGGTGGCCTTTTAACAGTTGCTTCAGTTAAGGCCTTCTGTTTATTGCCTAGAGCTGTGCCCCTGGGGAAGTGGCTTTCTCTGTGTGGGGAAGGAGCAGGCCTACATCATATCCAAGGTTCCTTTCTAGCCAGATATCTTCACTCAGCACTCCTTTCCATAGGTTACGGTGATGATATTCTTGTGTTCTCACATATTACACTTGCATTCTTTTGAAGTAGCCAGGCATGGTGGCACACACCTTTAATCCCAGCACTCAGGAGACAGAGGCAGGCAGATCTCTGTGAGATCAAGGCCAGCCTGGTCTACATAATGAGTTCTAGGCCAGCTGGAGCTACAGGGAGACCCTGTCTCAGAACCCAAAACAAAACAAAGTTTTCACTCCTTAATACATACTAATGTAGAAAATTTAGAAAACAAAAGCATAAAAAGGCAATAAAATATCCTTTAGTCCCTCCATCTAGACATTATTATTTTTAAACATTATTGATATATTTCCTTCTCTTTTTTCATGTGCATTGTCAAATTATGTTAAGCTTGGATAGACATAGTGCTGCCATCTCCTAAAGCTTTTAACACTGTATCATAGTTTTTCATTTGTAAAAATCTTTGAAGCCATTTTATTGTGGTAAAATGCATATGACATGTTACCTTATGAACTACTTTATGTGTGTGGTTCTGTGGTATTAATTAGCTTCACAGAGCTGTGCAGCCATCACTGTTTACCCACCAAATAGCCACTTTCCAGTTCCTTCTTCTCAGCCCTGGAAACTTTCTGTCTTTATAAATTTGACTACCCCAGGTACCTCAGACTGAAAGAAAAATTTTGATACAAATTCTCATTACATTGCCCAGATGGGCCTTGATTGCTTGGGCTTAAGAAATCTTCCTATCGGGAATAGAGAGATGGCCCAGTAGTTAAGAACACTTCCTGCTCTTTCAGGGGACCACGTTCAGTTCCCAGCACCCATGTGGTGGCTTACAACCCCTTGTAACTCCAGTTCTGATATTTCTTGACTTCTGGGCACCCCTACATATGGTGCATGTAAACTCATGCAAGCACATACATACCTATAAAATAATAAACAAAACAACAGCATCAAAAAGTAAGTCTTCCTGGGGACTGGAGAGATGGCTCAGTGGTTAAGAGCACTGTCTGCTCTCGAAGATGACCCAGATTTGAATCCCAGCACCCACATGGCAGATAACAATTGGCCTTAATTCCAGTTCCAGAGGATCCGATGCCCTCTTCTGGCCTCAGCAAGCACTGTATGACATGGGTGTACTTATATACATGCAGGCATAACATTCATACACATTAAAAAAAATCAAAAAATTAAAAAAAACTTTCCTGTCTCAGCCTCCCAAATAGCTGGGACTACAGGTGCATGGCCACACATCTAACTCTTAAAATGTTTTTAATAGTTGCTTGACATTCTAGTATATAGATGTACCTGGTTTATATAATGCCTCACTATTAAACATATAACTTCCTCTAATTTTTTCACTGCAATAAATGATGCTACAATAACTATGCCCTGCACCCTCATAAAGATACAAGGTTTATCTATTTTCATTCATCCCACATTAGCACCCCTCACACTTTATCTTGTCACTCTGCAATCCTTCCTCCCTTCTTCATGAGCTTCCAGTGACAGTTCTCACATTTCTCATGGCAGAGGCAGCAAACCCCTCTTCACGTAGCTGCTAATCTTGGAAATGTGGAGTTGGTGGAAACGCTGTTGAAGGCCGGCTGTGACTTGAAGATCACGGACAAGGTAGGTGTCTTCTGAGATGGCAGTGGAGACCTCCCTGTTGGCTGCTGTGTGATGAACATCAGAATTCCTCTGGGAGATGGACATGAACTGCATCTTCATAGGCAGGAAAACATCTGGATTGTGTGTGTGTGTGTATGTGTGTATGTGTGTATGTGTGCGTGTGGAGGCCAGAGGTCAATGTCAGACATCTTCTTCAATTGCTCTCCACCTTATTCTTTGAGTCAAGGTCTCTTACTGAACCTGGAGTTTAAAATTTGGCTGGAGTGTTTGGCCGGCAAGCCTCAGGGATCCTCCTGCTTCCATCTCCCCAGCCCTGGGATTATAGGACTTGGCTTTTGACATGGGTGCTGGGCCTCAAACTCAGGTTGTCATGCTTATGTGGCAGGCACTTTACCAACTGAGCCATCTCCCCAGACCCACATCTCAATTTTGATTGGGATATATGTTCATAACAATTTTTGCTCAAATAATAAAAATATCTGTTTTTAGGACTCAAATAATTCATCGATATTTTTCAAGATTATAGATTCACATGGTCCAAGTATTATATTTATGTGTGCATATATATTTATGTATAGATATGATGGTTTATAGCACAAACTTCCAGGCTACACTTGTCTCTTATCTGGTTCTCTTACTACTATGCCATATGTATGCATAGAATAATTCTGTTTCTTGTAGATATTTTATGTTCACACAACATATACGCTATCTTCACTCTGGTCTTCAATTTTTCTCTAAGAACTTTTTTCTTCTTTGTGTGTGTGATATGCACACGTGTGTACACATTTGAATATGTGTGTGCATGTACACACATGCACAGGGAGGCCTGCTGTTGATGTCAGGGATAAGGAAGAACCTGGATAGTTCTTCCTTTTCTTTGATGGGAAGGTCTCTCAACAGAACTTGGAGCTCCTGGATGTTGTTGTCTCACTAGCCAGCTTGCTCTGGGGATCCTCTGCCTCTGCTTTTTAGTCTGGAATTATAGGTGAGCTGGCAGGCCCACACACACTCTAGGGATCTGAACTCTCTGCTTATGTGGCCACTCAGCTATCTCCCCAAGCTAAAATCTCCCCTGTCCTCCCAGAGTCTTTCTATGTAGTCTAGGCTGGCTTGGACTTGAGATCTTCCTGCCTCAGTGTCCTAAGTACTAGGTGACATGTATTCTGCACTATACTTGGCCATTCCTCTGCCTTTTTAAGAGAATGCTAATATTACTCTGTATATACTCTTCAGCATTTAGCTCTCTTGAAGTGGGCTTTTTTTTTAAAATTAATTAATTTAGTTTTACATCCACTTCCCAAATAGCACCCTCCCATAGCCTCCCTCTCCCTCCCCCCATTAGAGCCCTTATACTCTTGATATCCCTGCTACTGTCTGCTGTGTTGTCGGCACCCCCAGCCATTCCCCACTACTTGTCCTTCTGGTGAATCTAGTCAGCCAATCTAGAGGTCTTTGTTTTAGGAGGGTCAGCTGTTCCTCATCTAGCGGTATTCAGTTGTCAATATTCCTTTGGATAAGATTGGGGTCTGCTGTTCAATTTCCCAGTTCTATGCTGGGTTACTATCTGGGAATCCCTTTGGCCACCAACTCAAAAGAGGTATCACCTGTCTGGCATTGTTACAATTTTTTTTTTGGTCTTTTTGAGACAGGATCTCCCTGTAGCCCCAGCTGTCCTGGTACTCACCCTGTAGACCAGACTGGCCTTAAACTCACAGAGATCCACCTGCCTCTGACTCCCGAGAGCTGGGATTAAAGGCGTGCGCCTCTATGCCCAGCTGGTTTTTACAATTTTTTACTTATTTTCATTTTGTGTGTATGAATATTTTGCCTGCATGTATATACATCACATGAACTTACTCATGGAGGCTAGAAAAGGGTGTTGGATCTCCTGGAACTGGAATTATAGATGGTTGTTAGCTGCCATATCAATGTTGGGAACTGAACTCTAGTCTTCTGCAAGAGCAGCCAGTGCTCTTAACCACTGAACCAGCTCTCCAGCCCCAAAGTGGAAGTTTTTACATATTAGTACATGGGGGTGTTTCTTCATTATTTTTTTCTTACCACTGCATGGACATATTATAATTCATTTAGTCTTCAAAAGATAGGTATTTAAGTCATTCTTAAACTTTGGTTTGAGCTTCAGTGAATAAACTCATATGTGTCTAAACTTGTTTTCAATTTAATTAATTTTATTTATTTACATAAACAATTTTTTGACAGGGTCTCCCTAGCTCCAGCCCACTTAGAACTCACTATGTAGATCAGGCTGGACTCAATCTCTCAGAGTCCCACCTGCCTCTGCCTCCTGAGTGCTGGGATTAAAGGCTTGTGACTACCACGCCTGGCATTAATTTTATCTTAAAAAAATTTTCTTTTTTACATTTACTTATTTGTGTGTGTGTGTGTGTGTGTGTGTGTGTGTCCCTACTTTAATTAAATTTTAACTGTGGTGAAATACACATAAAAATTTAGCACCTTAACTTTTTTTTCTCTAACTAGACTACTGGAGCTCTTGCTCCCGGTGACTCGCAGGTGCCAGTGAGCAGGAATAGGATTTAAATCTTCAAAACTGCTTTATTCAGGGAGCTAGCAATCTGAGAAGACAGTGGATTAACATCCTAAGAATCTGTTTTCACCTCTCCACTTCAGCCAGCAGATTATATGGGGAGAAGGCTGTGGGGCATGTGGGGTCGGGTGGGCAGACAAAGGCAGCAGTTATTCAGGAGCTTGGCCTTGCCCTCTGGTCAGGTGGTCAGCCATGATTTTAGTGTGTCTGTGCTTTTCTTATTATCATTCCTTGCAGTCTTCCATCACTCTGTGGATGTGTGGGCTCAGCTACTTAAACTCTGAGCTGGGTTAGTTTCTACTGGTATCAACCTTATAGTCCTCCTGGGGTATCTGGGTTTGGAGAGGGTTTAACTCAGAACAAACAAACCATTCACAGTGTGTGCACAATAAACTAGTAAATGATGTATGCATGCTGATTCCTTTATACAATATGGAGTACAAGTGTGTTTCTATAACACAGAATATCAAAGTACCCCTATCAGTACTGGGGAAATAACCCAGGGCCTTGCTCATGTTAGGCAATAGATCCACCACTGAGTTATACCCCCCAGTCCAAAGCTGCTGGTTCCTTCCCAGTCCTTAGCTCCCTCATCCACCCTGCTGTAGTTCAGAATCACATGTTCTATGTATGTATGATCTGAGGTTTGTGATATTCTTTTATTTTTCTCTGGTGTCAGGTTTTTTTTTTTTAATGATAAAAGTAATACATGCTAATTATGGACAATTTGGTAAATACAGGAAGGCATAAGGAAGGAAACCACAACCACCCATGGCCCAGACTTGGGTGGAAGACCACCATTACCCCCAGCAGTGGTTGGTTAACTTCATTGGCATTTAACCTTGGGATTTCCCATGTATCTGTTCAAAGTAACTTATTCTGCATTTTCACTCATACTTACTTCCTCCAAGGCTGGGTGGGTCGAGGATACATAAGAATTCTTATGGGGCCCCTGGTGCTGGTGGATGCCAAGCTAAATACCACTTCCCGTAGTTTTCAGCACAAGCCTGGGGTTGCTAGGCCTCAGGCTGCAGTCTCCCCATTTCCCTTCTTTGCCCCTTTCTTTTAAGGGTCTGACCTATGCTTGACACTCAGTAACATATTTAACTACTGAGTAAACACTACCCCGACTAGCTGCTCTCATATTTCCTTCTAAACCAAAGATAAGTGTTTTTAAGACTGTGTTAAGGTCTGGCTGGGGAAAAGGAGTGAAGGTGGAGGTTTGGTGTAAGTTTGACATTGCCAGGAGTTCTGGGCCTGGTGGTCACAAATCTCTCCATTTACCTCCTCCTCATAGTCAAGGGTAGAAGTTCTGGCACTTTCCTTCCAGTGTGCTCTTCCCTAGGAAGATTTTCTCCTGAGCTTGAAAATTCTGACTTTTAGAATGCTGCCTTCCCAAAATAGGCTAATTATGGTGATTCAAATGGCTTTACAAGCCAGAATGCAGACAGCATGCAATTAGAGGCTTGCTAAATGCCTGCAAAATGCAGTTCTTCCTAATTTCATTACTGTCTTTTCTGATTAGGGGCTGATTATGCTCAGCCCTAACTTTCCAACTCACCTGGGTCTTAGCGCCTCCACTAATCACGCAAGCATGTGTTGGTGGGATTGTACTTGTCAATATTCAGGCATATGAGAGAGTTATTGAGGGAAGTTTCTGTATATTTAGGGTTAGAAATACAGGTTCCTAAGATTGGAATTTTTTCTAGAGTTATTTCTGACCATTAATTTTAATCACCTTTAGAGTCCCTGAGTGAATTTGTCATGGCTCATTTGAAATGCAAATCAGGGGTTGGGGTGATGGCTGCATGGGTAAAATACTTGCCTCTAAAGTCTGAGGGCCTGTTTGATCCCTAGCATTCCCATATAAGTGTAAAAATGCCTGGCATAATCACCTGTAGTTCCAGAGCTGGGGAGGCAAAGAAAGGACAATCCCCAGCCAGTCTAGCTATTAGTAGAACTCCAGGCCAATGAGAGACCCCATCTCAGAGGAGCTGCTCTGTTTCTGAAATTGACACCAGAAGTGCCTCCATAAGCATGTGCACACACATACATGAGGGCACACACACATGCATCCATTCAAAAAAGTAAACAAAAACTATCCTCCTTTGTCAGGGAAACATATAGATGTAGAAAATAAAAGTTGTGGATTGCATAAGGGTCTGCAGTTTGCAAAGCTGTGCTCCCCGGCTGTGAGGGGCATCCGTCCTGAGGAGGGTGTATCTTCTGTAGTTTGTGTACAATATCACATGGGCTCCAGTCAGCACATGCTCCAAATTATGTCCAGAACAGCCATTTTTTACTTGTTCTGTTTGGTTAAAATTGGAACACATCACCCTTGCTTAGAAGCAGTGTGTTATAACAGAAAAAATATTCTAGCTAGGAGTCTGTGGACTGAAATCTATACTGTGAAATGTGTTGTCACTACCAACACTGTTCTTAGTTACATCCAGCCCTTTTCTGTCTCATTACTTCATCCTGAAAACAAGGCTTCCACTTCCTGGTCTGGGGTGGCACACGTCTTAAGGGCTTTCCATCCATCACCACACTCACACCTCACTATTACACTGGGGTGTATCTGCAGACACCCATAGTCACTAAGGACAGGACCAAGCTCCCAGCAAGTGACAGATCAAGACCTGAACCCAGGCCTCTGTTCCAAAGCTAGAGCTCTTGCCTACCAGGCAATACCACCTGACTCTTTAACTTTTTTTCTTTCTAATTTAGCAAGGAAAGACTGCCCTGGCAGTGGCCTCCAGGAGCCACCACAGCCTTGTTGTGGATATGCTCATTAAAGCCGAGAGGTACTATGCCTGGAAAAAGGTAAGGAAGGCCAGTCCCAGTCCAGTCAGGGGCTCTTCTGGCACCCCCCACCCCGTCTTCATATGGGGCACTGTGGGGTCTCTATAATTTTTTCTGCTGTAATGGGCAGAGTCCTGCTCAGTACAGTGATGACTGTCCCTGTGCCCTGTGCCCTCCCCAATCTTTTTTCTCTCTTCCTCTGTGGGTACCAACAGTCAGACCTGAGTATGGAGTTCTGGTGTCCCACGCAGCTTTGTCTATTTAGCTCTGCTAACTGAACATTCGAGGCCCTGGCTGCTGACTCCGGCTGTGCCCTCTGTCCCAGGGTCTCTGATCATGATCTCTTATAAGCAGCTATAATTGGAGGTGAAATAGCTCCTTTTCCTGGCTCTGATGTTCCTGCTGTAGCCTTACATTGGTTTTCTGGCACTCATGTATTCCGGACAATCATAGAGATGGGAAATTTAGGGGTGGCATGCATCCTAAGGGCTCCACATGCATCATCAAAATTCACTCCTCACCACTACAACTGGGTGTAACTGCAGACACCCACAGCAACACTACTGGCCCACGTTCTCATCAAATGGCAGATTGAGATCTCTGAGCCATGCCCATGTTCCAAAGCTAGCGCTCCGGCCTACCAGACAATACCACCTGACTTTTTATGATTTCATTTATCAAGGAAAGGCATGGCTTGTGAATACAAAAAAAAAAAATCTGTAAGATTTTTTTGCCTTTCTTTCATTTTTCTTTCCTCTGATACCTGCCAGTCACACTTCTCAGTAGACAGCCCTCCCATCCAAGATTCAAGTCTGCTTTCAGGTAAGATACCATAGCCATCAGACACCAGCCCCAATTTCAGAGCTGTGCTGTTTCTGTCCTGGCTACAGGGCTTTTTACCTGGGCCATTGTGTTCACACCAGAATACAGGTCCTCATAGCCCAGCTACCAAAGACTTGGATTGCTGTCATTAGCCAATTCTGGGTCATTCTTTTTAAATCCTTAAAGCAAGAATGTTTATTGATCTTCTTTCTTACAGTCCAGCATGGTGGTCTGGATATAGTTATGTGTCACTTTAATGACAAGGGTACTTTCAGAGGAATGTGTCATTAGGTGATGTGTTTATTGTGTGAAAACCATGAAGCATATACAGGCCACCACATAGGCCGTATGTTCTAGTCACTGTCATATATGTGACCCATGCTGATCCACATGTTACTCTGCGGTTCATGACAGTGTGCAGATTCTTTCAAAGGCCACACATCCTCCTTGTAGGACAATAGCATCTCTTTTGCCTATAAAACAACAGGACTTCTAAAGCAATTATAATCCTGTTCACTCTTCCTCCCCTGTTTTTCTCGGTCCTCTTTTTTCATCTTGTTTTATCTTTATGATCATTTTCTTAATAATCTCTGTATGTTACAACTCTACCAAATTCCTTTTCTCTTGTTCTTTAAATGGTTTTCCGCGTTTGCTTTGAAAATTGAGCTGCTCATTTGTTCTATTTTTAATACCTGGTAGGAGCCTTAGATTTTTATTTTTTGCTAGATGAGAATTAATAACTTCACCAAACGAATAAGCCTTCTTTCCTAACAAATCTTTAAGACATAAGAAGTATATAAACTTTGAAACCTATGCAATGCATGAATATAGCTGAAGAAAGGGCCCAGAAATGGTAAGTCATTCACCCTGGTGGCAGCTTGGGTCCTGAGGTCTGTGGTGGGATGAAAGCTTGTTTGCAAACATATAATCTTAATTTTTTCTATGAAATGCATTTATTATTTTAAATATTTGTCAAACAAGTTTATATCCTGGATATAAAATGGTTCCTAATCAAAGGTTTAAATAGATAATTTGAATTTCTTTTATATTTGTTTACATATCCTGTAGCTTATTTGTATGTAAATCCCATTTAAATTATCTACTTATGTATAATGTCTATGTAGTCTATATTCATATTTAACCATAATCCATCATTAATTTAGTGGTTCAGAGGCAAAAGATGCTTCTTAAAATTTGTCTTATGCTATTTTGTTTATTGTTAGTGTGTGTGTGTGTGGGAGGGAGGGAGGGAGGGAGAGAGAGAGAGAGGGAGAGAGAGAGAGAGAGAGAATGCATATGCTGCCATGGTATGCATGTGGAGGTCAGAGGACAACTTTATTTTAAAAAAGATTTATTTTTATTTGCACAAGTATTTGGATTGCTTGTATGTATACCGGCATATGTGTAGTGCCCACAAGACTGGAAGAGGCTGACAGAGCTGCTATGTGGGTGCTGGGAATTGAACCCAGGTCCTCTGGAAGAATGATAAGTGCTCTCAACCCCTGAGCCACCTCTCCATCCCCCAGAGGGCAACTTTTGAGAGTTTTTGACTTTCACCATTCAAGGCAGGGTCTCTGTTGTTCCTGCTGCATTGCACTGCATATTCTAGGTTAGCTGGCTGGCGAGCTTCTAAGCAATTCTCCTGTCTCTACCTCCCATCTCATCGTAGGAGTGCTGGAATTATGAGTACCACCACACCTACTTTTACAGGGGTTCCAGGGATTAACCTTAGGTCATTAGGCTTGCACAGCAAGTACTTTTATCCCGAGTCATCTCATCAGCCCTGTCTTATGCAATTCTAACCTGGACTACTTCTGGTTTGTGTTATTCCAGCAACTCGATCAGTACTAATGCTCCTTTTGACTGTTCAAAAAGACCTGGACTTTCGAAGTCTTTCCAAGTCCAAGGCTTTCCTGTTCTTGCCTATAGATGCCTGAATGTCCACCCTGTCCTATCCCAGAATGCAAAGCATACACAAATTTCTAAGAAAGAAATATGTTAGAGCAAAGATGAGTGCAGGACTATGCCCTCTTTTCTTACCTTACGGTGTTTGGAGTTTTGATCTTGTTGGATCTGTTGTTACATGAGAGGGAATGAAAAGATGAAGAGCTTACAGTTCCTAAGTAACCTTGTTGGTTCTCCCCACCTCACCTCTCGGGATTCCTGGAAGGAAAGCAAGCCCTCACTGGTTGGAGAAGACTTTGCACTCTGAAATCTTTTGAATAACAGTGGGCAACTCACATCTCCAATTCCTATTCCAATTCCTGTACATAAGGCCCAAATTTGGAAGATCTTGGCCTTCTCCTTAGCTAAGATTCCCAGGAGTATACAGAGCTTCTGGAAGAAGGCTGCTGGTGCTATGCAGGGTGAAGGCTGTCATGATGAGGGAAGAGGTACACACCCCACTAATTTCTTCTCAGATGTTTTGAAAGACAGAGTCCCACACCCTTTTGTCCATTTCCTCCCTCAGCACTAATTCCCATCTTTAGTGTATCTTTCATTAAGATTCACTTTTATCTATTTATATTTTTATGTGTATGAGTGTATTGCCTGCATGTATGTTAAGTGCACCCATGTCATGCAATGTCCATGGAAGTCAGAAGGGGGTGTCTGATTGGAACTGGATTTATGGATAGTTGTTAGCTGCATGTGGGTGCTAGGAATCAAACCCAGGTCCTTTGCAAGGGCAGCCAGCACTCTTAACTGCTGAGCCATGTCTCCAGCCCCTAGATTCACTTCGATTTTAATAGATGACAAAACAAGTCATTATACAAGAGAAAGGGGACTAGATGGGAAGTCCTAACTAAACTTTTTGTTGAGCCTGTGTCTTATATGCCCTTACTAGATCTGGAACCTTCTGCAGGGGGGGTTGTCTGAAGCTTAATGGCACACGTGTGAGATGCAGTTCTAGACTTGCTTTTCTTCTGAGATTCTTTTCTCCAATGTTTTTGGGAGTTGGATTTTGAAAGACTGTAGTAGATTCTACTGAATGGACAAAAGGAAGCTTTGAAAAGCCAGGAAACAAGACACTTGCCTCAGCATAGTATAGAAACAAAATGATATCCATTCTATTCTGTCCACTCCCATGACCCCTCTTTGCCTACCCTGCTCTGCCATGGCTTCCAGTTTGTCTTCTCACACTCAGGAGAGATCAGAAGGAAGAAGAGCTATGTGGTTTTATTAACGATGTATGAAATCTGAACTCCAATAAGGATTCAATGAGAAAATCAAATACTCCAAAAGAAAAAAGGGGGGGCGGGGCTGTGTTGAGAGTAAGACTATTAAAGCTGTTTGTTGTGATATTTCATTTGCCAACACATCCCCTCTGTTCTCTTTGGAGTGGGCAAATATCAGTCAGTAGCATGGGCACCACATGCAGAATCCCTCACACTTGCTGTTTCAGACAGACAGTATTCGAGCTTTTTATTCCAGACATTTCTTGTCCAACTGGATGACAAAAAAAGATTGATGACAGATTGAAAAGTCTCAGTTGCCACCTTACCAATTATGTATGAAATAAAGCATAAGTGAGCATACCAGAAATAACTTGCTACATTATTCCTCAATTTAGGAGCATCAAGAGAGCATCCAGGACCCACCAGCAGGCTCTACCCTGACATTCAAGCAAGACCATAGTCTGGAGACCAAGCACATCCGCATGCATCTCTGGAAACTGGCTTACCATCAGCTGAAGGCTAATGACTGGCAGAGGCTGGCCCACTTATGGCGCTTTACAGATGACCAGATCAGAGCCATTGAGGAACAGTGGTCAGGTTAGAGGGGACCAGATGACATGCACGGGGTGGTAGGGCCCTCAGTGTTAATGAGCAACAGTCCTTCCTTCCAAGCAAGTGCCTAGTACTCACAACAAGTAGCAGAGCCCAGGGGTCACTGGGATAAGGGCAGTCAGCTTGGCTAAGTCCACAAAGGTTGTTGAGAACTTTACAGAAAGATATACTGGTGGAAATCTATAGTAAACTTTGCAAAGGATGACTATATTAATTGAGCAGTATCTCAAATGTGCCCTTTAGCTTGAAAAGAAATTAGGGTCACACAATTGAATGGGCACCAAAGCAGCAAGGATACAGCCATGGCATGCCTCTGAGGAGCCAGTATGTTTTCTGGTGTATCTGAAGACTGTGCTGGGATGAATGGGCTTAACGCAGCCACAGAAAAGCTCACTGTTGAAGGTTTCTGTTACGGGAATAATCTTTCTAGCCAGGCTAGGGAAAAGGGGTTCTGGGAGGACATTATCTCTAAGCCATGCAACACATTATAATCTCCCTAGCATGACATTAACATTCACAATCCTGAGCCTGGTGAGAACCAGATCAAGAAAGGAGCAGAACATTTGCTTTCCCAGGAGTGCATTCTTCATGCCAAGTGCTTCTTCTTGTGGCCTCTGATGGAACCTGCTGTGTTTACCGTGTGCACAACACAGTACAACAACTGCAAACTCCTGTCCAAACTGACAGTGGTTTCTGTGTCTTTACATTCCAATCCCCACCCCCTCCCCCGCAGCCTCACAGAGGTTATGTCTCAAGCAAGTATTTACAGGATGAATAATCCTGACCTGAGTTACAGACTTTTCTCAGTGTTGTTCCCTTGATCTCAGAGTGGCTGTATGACACGTGCTTGCTGCTCAGTGATTTACAGATCATCATCATCATCAGCAGCAGCAGCAACATCAACAGCACTGAGGAGTTTGCCAGACTCAAACCTACCAAATCAAAGCCTGCATTTTCACAAGATGCCCAGGCAAAACATGCACTCTGAGTCTGACCTGTTGGAAGGCCTTGTATCTCATGGGGATTACCTCAGGCATCAAAGCCATTCAGTCCCTTGTAGGCCCACTTGTGTGTGTCCCAGAACAGTATGTGCAGACCAGGGCTGCCTTGCTTCCAAAGGCTGGTTGGTCATCATAAAGCAGCACCAGGGAGGGAATGGGAAGGGCTTCTTCCTATTGTTGGGCTTTTAACAGGACAGCTCAAGAAGGAACTGATAGGCAAGAGTAGTCATTTAGAAACACAGCTAGATCACATCAGAAAGGGGCATTGGCACCTGGTGCTTCACTCTGGACCTAGTCTTTTGCACAGGTAAAGACAGCTTCCGTGAGCACGGCTACCGGGCTCTGCTCATTTGGCTGCATGGGGCCCTGATGATGCAGTCAGATCCAGCCAAACACCTGTATGAAGAGCTCATGCGTGCAGGCTTCCCAGAACTAGCTGGTGAGTTAGTGTGGCAAAGATCTACAGAAATTTCTTCTCCCTTAAACAGTAGGAGGCCTCTGACAAGATTGTTCCCTAAATAACAGCAGTCCCAATGGGGGTTGATTGTGGCTCAAACAGAACACAGAGCTGTGGGGGGGTGGGGGGGGCTGTATGTGCCCAACAGCTTCTGTTAGTTAAGTGAACCAGACAACACTCATCAGTTTCAGCATTTGAAAAAAGTGTGGTATGCCTGCTTATATGTCCATATGACTGTGGCTAGGTAAAGTGGGGCTCAAATGCATAACTATCTTCTACAGTTATAGAACTGTTCTGTATACTGGGCAAGAATTATCTTGCTCAAAATGCCATTTTCCCATGGGCAAACTCCGTAACTTAGTGTTTTTGAAAACAATCTCTAGGTGGAAAGAAGAGTAGACAGGCTATTGCTTAGTCAGCTGAGATTATTACACAAAATCACTGCCCAAATCACTGATTGTATTGCCAAGGAAGATTCTTAAGATTCTTTGAAAACATTAGAAAGTTATGAGGTTTTAGAATTCTCAGGTAATGACAGTCACTAAAGCAGAGAGGCATCTGCCATTATTTTCAGAGGCAGCTCCACCTGCAGAGATGTGACAGAGTCAGTCTGGCCGCTGGTCCAGCATTGTTTCAAGCAGGGGACAGAATGAGGAATAATGCACTGATACCTTCCTCCCAGGACACTAGCCTCCTAACACTGGGTTTCTGCAACTTTAAATGTGTTCTTTCCAGTGAAAGAGTAACCTTACAGCTCTGAGGGAAGACAAAGGTGGTCTGAGGGAGTGGTCAGAGCAGGGTTGTGCGGGCTCACCCTGCAGCTCTGTGAGCTTAAGCAGGTTCTACCTCACTGTGCAGTAAGTAAGTCCTGGAACTTAGCAAATGCTTTAAAAATAATAGCTGTTCATCACAAATGTCATCTTATTTTTTTTCCAGAAAAGATTCGCCAATTCAAAAGTAAAACTGACTCAAGCTCCAAGAAATGTGTAGTTTCATAAGTGCTTGAAGAAATAGAATTCAAATGATTTTTCACTTTCATATTCAGTCTAACTTTGGTTCCTGACTGCCACTGACTTCTCCCAGCAGCACCGATTTCCTAGTACAAAGTTGCCGCTCCTCCAGCAGGTGAAAGTAACACATCAACTTCCCACTGCTCCAGAGTCACACACTGGTTTTGTCTTTTTCTTAAGGCAAGCTGTATGGTTCTTGCCCATTTCTGTCATTTGATGCACACATGGAGCAGCATGCCTAAAGAGGTTCTCTCTGTTTAAAAAACAAACTGATGATGGGAGCAGCATGGTGGCCTATGGAGAAGCAGGGCTAGAATACAATACAGTTCTGAATTGGATTCTTAGCTGTAAATGGTGGGGATGTTGCTATTATTGAAATTTTCAGGCCTTGCTTCCTTTTCTACTGAACAGACAAAATGTCCCCTCCAGAAATTGGGGAAGATGATAGAAAAACACCCAGAAAACACCTGACCTCAAGCCCATAGTACAGAGACCATGAGTTCTTATCTTTGTAAGAGAAAACACATTTGGAAATCCAGTCACTGGTGGCTTTAATCACTAAGTGTAATCTATTATTTAGGAAAAACAGAAAGACATAAAGCAGTGTTTTTTATCCCTTGGTAATGTAACTACAGGTCATTTTATTTTTCTTTGTGCCTTGTGATATATCTAATTTCTCCACAATGAACAAGCGTTACTTTCTGTAATGTGAGAAAGTTATGAAACAGATGTGAAATGAGGTATTAATTTTCATTAGTGTATGGTCACCCAGAGTCAAATTCTGACTGTAAGTCTATAAAACTGATGATAAAGTCACGAGTAATCTTGGTCTACTTATTCTATCATGAATTTAGAGTTTCATGTATTTTTCTTATATTTGTTGTAAATGGTCCATTTAATGCTATGAATACTTAAAACAGGTAATACACTCACGTGATTTCAGAATTTTTTAAAGGCATTAAATGAGGTCTCATGTCTACTCATTCTTCAGTTTGGCAAGTTTCCACTGATCTTACTACCATTCTTCCCCCAAATTTGAGTAACCCATTTGTAAAAATAAATATATACTCTTACTGTATAAAGTGTTTCAATTGTTGGAATTTGCTCTTTTTTTTTCTTGAGATAGTGTCTCACTACGTAGTTCTGCCTGGCCTGGAACTCTCTTATGGAGATTGGCCTGGAACTCATGGAGATGGGCCTGCCTCTGCTTCACAAGTGCTGGGATAAATGATAGGAGTTATCATGCCCAGCTTAATTGTTGAATTTATGGTATTTAACTTAGACTAATACGAATTATTTGGTGCTTTAGAGAATATACAGCACTTTCAGAGCTTATAGCTAAAAAGATGCAAATAATAGTCCTAATTACAACATCAGTTTGCATCAGTGTGTCTTTATGGCTAGGTTTGAATACTGAAAACCATCCTAGTTGCAGTCTGGGTTCTTTAAAGAGTAGAGTCAAGATCAAGGTTTGTTTGCAAAACAGGAGTGATGGGGAAGGGGACTGATCTCAGGAAGTCAGGAAGGAGGGTCACAACAACGATGCTACCAAATTGGCCAGCAGTTGGTCAAGCTTAATTCTCTGATATTGATGACACTCTGTTCTAAAATGGGATGGACTACTATGTCTCAGGGCAGTTTGTATAGGAGAGGGAAGAGGAAGAATTGATCCATATGTCACAAGGGGTTTTTATTCTGGGTTACATGAGTGGGCTTGAGGTGGAGCTGTGGGGGTTTGAATGAAAGTGTCCCCCACAGACTCCAAGTATTTGGACATTTTGTCCCCAAATGGTGACACTGTTTTGGGAGGTCTTAGGTGTGTGGCCATGCTGGAAGGAGACACATCACTGGGGGCAGGCTTAGAGAGTTAACCCTTGCTAGATTTTCAGTTGCTTGCCAGATTTCCCGTCACTCTCTGCTTCCTGTGGCTGCTTGAAGATGTGACTGCTTGGCTTTCTGCTCCTCTTACCTCTGTTGCCATGCCTACCCTGCCATCAGGGACTCTTACCCCTGGAACTATAAGCTCACATAAATTTTTCCTTCTGTAAGTTGCCTTGGTCACAGTGTTTTATCATAGCAACAGAAAAGTAACTAGTACAGGAGCCTACAGTCTCTCCTGGGAGTGGCCAGGGCAGTTCTGGGGAGGGCATAGCCACATGAAAGATTTAAGGGGAGGTACTACAGCTTTGAGTTCAGAAAGCTTATGCCCATGGTGAGTACAGTTTTTGCTATAATAGTAGCTAGGCAGCAGGGACCCAGAACAAGTGTTGCTTAAGCATTTACTACTTGGAAAGAAACCGCCTGATAGGTCTATAATTCATTAAAGTCTTACTGTACTGGGTTATAGAATGCAATTATGTTTGCCTATATCACATTTATTCTGATGGACTGTTACTAGTGTAAAGCAGCGAGAAAAACGACGTCTAGGAGGGCATGGTGATGTACACCTTTAGAGTAAGTTCAGCATTCAGCAGGCAGAGGTAGGTGGATCTCTGTGAGATCGAGGCCAGTCTGGTCTATGTAGCAAGTCCCGGGCCAGTTGGGGGCTACAGGGAGACCTTGTCTTAAAAACAATCAAGCAAACAAACAAAAAAATACAGGGGAAAAAAAGGAAAAATGACTTCCTATAATAAAGTGAGAACACAGAAGCAGATCATGGTCAAATTGGAAGAGGCTGAGGCTTCAGATTATTGAGTTTAGCTATGTCTAGATTAAAGGCATGGAAGTGGAGGCCAGATACTCCAGCGCCTACTCATTTTCACATATTCTGTAAGCATACTGTGAAACAGGGAGGGGAGGTACATTCTTCTCAGCACAGACGACGATCTGGAGAGTAATTTAAATTAAGCATTTGGCTCAAGAGAACACAGCCAGCAATAAAACCATGGAGAATGCAGGGCTCTTTCTGCTATGTCAATTCTTCTCAGATGGTTTCTTCATACTGGTCACCTACAGGAAAATTTTTGCCCAGGCTAAGAGGCTTGCTGCCTCCCGAGGCCACACCTTCCTGGGAAGTGTGTGGATGTGCAGAGAGAACAAAGTGGGCTCAATGGTGTAGCTTCCAAAAGGTGAGAAGGAACATTGGAAGCAACGTCATTCTAGCAGGGAATTCATTTCTGTATCTGTGACTCGACTCTAAAAACCTTCTCCCTTTTTAGCACTAAAATTATCTACAGATGTTGGCTCAATTTTTCCCTCCATTTTTAAGTGTAGGGTCATAGAGAAATGAAGACTAGTATACTGAAACTTCAAACAGCTTTGTGATCAGAAACATTATTGCTCTTGGGCTTTACTTGTTTACTTTAAAAATGCAAAGAAATAATTCAGAGAAAACAAGATTTATACCCTTCAATGATATAACAGTGACAGGCTGAACATGTTAAAAATGTTTTTTTTTTTAAATTAAAAAGTTCTACTTAATTGTTTAAATAAAAAACATCATCAAAGTAATTTCTACATACAGTTACAAAGGATGATGAAACCTGGGAAAGTCTCTTATAATTTTGAAAAGATGAACATGATGTATTCATGATATTCTAACAATAAAGAAAAGTTAGAAACAAAAGGCTTCCACCATCTGGTAAAGTCCTTACCAGAGTAATGAAAAGACATGGTGAAAACATCACTCTAGTCAACGACTTTTATGGGCTGAACGCTTGTGAGAGGCTGGGTATGGGCTGGCCTGGCTCCGAGAGATCTGGCAGCCGAGGTGCTGCCTTCTGGATGAATGGTCCGTGGATATTTTGCAGCAGCAGCTTGAGGAATAGTTTGCTGAAAAGACAAGAAGATGATTTAATAATTTCCTAAGTCTAGATATCAAGTATCATTTCATCATCTATAAACTAACCCAACATTTGTTTGGCATACCAACAATGACTTGGGTAAAATAGCCATTCAAATAAACACGATGAAGCCTTTCTCCAAAAGGAACCCACTGGTTCAACAACATCCAATACCAGAGCTACATTTTCAGGGCCTTGGTAGTCATTTCTCCAAGAGGTCCAAGAGGAAAAGAACTACACGGTGTCTAGATGAAGGTCAGCCCCAAGCCACCCACACCCTTCTTCCTTTCTATAGGTTAGATATTATGTGGAATCTAATCTTGAGGGTGTGGAGGATGCCCTGAGGGTCCAGTCTGGGTCTTGCTTCAAATTAGGGTAAAAAAGACTTCTTAGTTCACCTGGGAATAGACTAAATGTTTTCTAGTCACACAAGAGTAGGTCTTCCCAGAAGTCAAGGTGCTCCCTGAACCAATTAATATCTATTTCTTCTCGCCGTCTCTTTCTTGTCCCTGGTCTCCCTCTCCTTTTCTTTTTTCTACCCTCTTCCTCTCCCTTTCCCTCCACCCTGCCCCTCTCCAGGGTCTCACAGTGCAGGCTAGGCTGGATTTGACCTTGTTATCCACCTGCCCAAGCCCCCTGAATGTTGGGAAAACAGTCATATGCTACTATGCCTGATTTGGAGTACAGTTTTCTAAACAAGAAATTAACTAGGTGTGGAGGACAAATGTAGATGCTGAAAGATAAGGTAATACACCAGCTTGAAGCTTAAGAGAACATTTGATAAATGAACATTGAAAAAATTAAAGTCAGAGCAGAATGGACTGGGTCCACACATGTGACATGTAAAAATGTGCACTGTGTACACTGCTATATGCTATTCATACAGGCATATGGATAAGTGTTAAGACTTCATTATACCTGTGATACCTTCTCAGTAGCTAGCAGTGGGATTTGTTAAGCTCTCAAGTCATGTACACGTAGATATCTATTATAGGATCTTTCACTTAGAAAAAGGCTTGGTGGCACATGCCTTTAATCCCAGCACTTGGGAGGCAGAGGCAGGCAGATCATTGTGAATTTGAAGCCAGCCTGGTCTACATAGCGAGTTCCAGGCCAGCTGGGGCTACAGGGAGACCCTGTCTCAAAAAGACCCCAAAACAATTTTTTTAAAGTAAAATTTTATGCATTTGGTTAATATATTTACTATGTATATCAAAGACTATGCATCATCATTAAAAAAAAATCTAGCTTCTTATAAACAAAAGGTCCCCATGTCAGATTCTGGCTTAAAAGTGAGAATTCCTCTGTAAAAGAAAGAGAAAAATAACTTCCTTTTTTCAGATATCCTATACAAACACTTCTTTGTATATAAATGCCTAGATAACCAGTACAAATGGCAGACTCTTGCAGTTGGCATGAAATTTTAGTTGCCAAGCATCAAATATGGCCTTATCAAAAAAGCTGTTTCTGCTTGAGGTGGATGGGTAGAAGAACAGTAGAAAGAGTCTAATGCTCTAAAATATGAATTCTTATTTTAATGAAGACAAAGGCTGTCTCAAAAATATACACACAAGTGTTCTATGTCACACCTAACACCTGGATAGACTCTCTCCCTAATATATTATGTTGATAATTGAATTATGTTGATAAAAATAGAAATGAATTTATTTCTTCTCATTTTGTATAACTAATTTCACATATTCAAAAGTTTACAGAGAAGTCATCTTTGAATTTTCAAGACCTGTCTGAGTTGTGAACCCCAAGATAGAATGCTCCTTCACTTGTCTCTTTAGACTTGGTTCTTCCACTTCTGGTCCTCACCTCACCAAGTCAGACTTCGTCTGGGGTCAACTTAATACAGCTTCTTTGATTCGATCACTTGGTGACCATCTAGTATCCAGGATAGAAAGGACCTAAAAGCATTCTTATCTTTTTCTGTTAATGTTTTGACAAACTAGGTAAACAGATAAACTGCAGCATGTTGAAGAATTATCTGAAGGCATTCACTCTCAAACTGCTTTCTTCATGTAGCAGGTTGAGCCGAGGGTCTTTCACATGCTAGGCAAGCACTCCACTAATAGATCCCCAGCCTAGAGGGACAACTCTTTTCATAAATCATGCTTTTTGAGATAACTGCTAATTCATATGCTGTTATAAGAAACTAACAGAAAAATCTCATGTTCCTTTTCTAGTACCTTTCAGTAAGCCTGGGTTCCTATGGTTTTACATCTACAAAGTGCCTTTTATCTCTTTAATTTTTGTATTATTTCATTTAATACCCCTTCCTTTTTTCTTGGTCTTTTTGAGACATGGTCTCCCTGTAGCCCTTGCTGGTCTAAAACTTGCTATGTAGACCAGGCTGGCCTTGAACTCACAAAGATTCGCCTGCCTCTGCCTCCCGAGTGCTAGAATTACAGGTGTGTGCCACCATGCCCATTATCTCATTTAATCCTGAATCTTGACACTAACCCTAGGAGTATGCTCATCAATCCCATTTTATGGAAAAGGAGTGAAGGATGAAATATTTTACTTCATGTGTGTTGGTCCAAATACACTAAGTAGCAAGGTGAAGTAATAACTGGGATATTTTTACTTATTTTCTGCTTCAAAGTCCATGTACCTTTCTTTATATCACATAAATTTATTGCAGTTTCTTTAACTATTAGAGATATGCTGACAACTGTATTGAAAAAAGATGATTTAAAATGAAACAAAACAAGAAAAGCAAAACTCTTGGCTTATGAGCGAACAGTTTTTTGTATGAAATCCTTATATATTTTAACTGTTTTAGCAGTCAACATACCAGATTACCTTTTCTATTTGATAGATTTGAAAGAAACATGTTTCTGAGTTGAATTTCTTAACAGAAGAAAGGCGGTTTTGGAACGTGTGGTATATTCAGACCAACAGTAAATGGCAAAACAAGTAATCAATCATGAATTCTGTTATCCTCTCAAAATGGCACTGAAGGGTTTATTAGTCGACAAACTCTTAGGAAAAAGATTTTTTGACAGGACTCACCACTGTGACTGGATGATGTTTTTCCACAACAACTGAGCTCATGGGGGGAGAAACTCCCATTATTGCCAAACTGCTATTGACTCTAGCTTTTGAGGCAAAATCACATCTCCCAGTGATGCGAGCTGTGATTGTCTTTCCAGCTTTCTGCTGCGCTGAAGTCACAACTCTTGGCACACACTGCAAAACAGACAAATCAAGCACTGTCAGACTCATTAAAGACAACACAGTACTTAAAAGTTAAAGCAATGAGACTAAAAGGCAAAACAACAATAACAAAAAACCCAATGTTCCTTGCAGGGCGTGGTGGCGCATGCCTTTAATTCCAGCAGAGGCAGGTGGATCTCTGTAAGTTCGAGGCCAGCCTGGTCTCCATAGTGAATCTAGGCCAGCTAGGGCAACAGGGAGACCCTGTCTCAAAAAGACCAAAAAATAAAAATAAAAAATAAACAAATAAAAAAACCATTGGCATGCTCGCTATTACATACAGTTTCAGAGACTTAAGAACACCTTATTTTGAAATGATGGAGTCAGGAGAAGTCTCAAAGATCATATTGAGAAGTTCTGGGTATTCCTCATTTAGCCTCCTGCAATGATTAAATTTTCCCTGATGTACAACAACATCAACACCAGAAGCTGGTGCTGATATACTGCCTGTGAACACATCAATGTCACTGTATCAGGTGCAGAGTCTTTACCACTGGGATCAAGATGGTCTTGTCTGTCACCACAAAAAAGTCCCTCATGCCACCTCTTGCTCATCTCTCCTTCTCCCACTTATCCTTCACCCCTGCCAACCATTATCTGTATGTGTATCAGAAATGAGGGATGATTTATTTTTTTCACTGTCAATTAATTACATAAATGCTCATTAAACTGTAAGGCAAACTATTTGATTTAATTTGTAATTCAATTTGTGTTTCATATTTACATTCCAACTTGTCAGCTCTTTAACTATTAGCCAGGAATGGAGAAGACCGTTACTATTAAAATATATGTAATAGCTCCAAAATCTAGGCAGTGAGGTAAAAACCTGTAAGCCGAGCACTTGGAAGGCTAAGGCAGGGGATCACAAGTTTGAAGCCAGCCTGGGATAACCAGTGAGAATGTCTCAAAACAAACACAAAACAGCTCCAACTAGGCTGGGAGTATTGCAGAGTGGTGCTTGTCAACCATGAATGGGTTTGATTCCTAACTCCACAAAACAAAAAAAATTTTTTTAATAGGTCCTGATGAATGTTAACCTCATTTTAATAATTTAGATGCTAATTTAGTAATGTAAAAATTTTTCCCTATTTCTTTCTTTTGGTGTGGCTATGTTGCATCTGTGCGTGTTGCATGCACAGGAATGTGTGTGTGTGCTGTACATGTGTATGCAGAGGCCAGAGAAAGATGTCAGGGGTCTTCGTCTATTACTCTCTGCCTTACTGTAGAGAGGGTTTCTCACTGAACCAGAAGCACACTGTTTCCGGTAGGCAGCTGGCTGCTGACCACTGATCTCCTAGGATCCACTTGTCTATGTTCCTTAGTGCTGCCATTTATAAGTACGTGCATGTGGGTACTGGGGAAATCAAACTCAGGTCCTCATGCTTGTAGAGAAAGTGCTTTAACCCACAGAGCCAGCTCCCCAGCCCTACCCCTATTTTACTTTTCAATGTACACAGTTTTTAAAATTGTACTTAATCATGACATTATTTTTTCTTACTTCCACACTTGAACAAAAAATAGCCTGCAATGGAAAGCAAAAGTGATCACACTCTTCTAACATGCACTTTTTTTGGTTTACCTGAAAATGCAGTGTGGAGTGCTAGTGTAAATGCATGTTTTTTCTCAATGGTCCTTCCAAAAGCACTGATTAAATACTGATCTCAGGGCTTGAGAGATGGCTCAGTGGTTAAGAGCATTGGCTGCTATTGCAGAGGACCTGGGTTCAGTTCCCAGTACCCACAGGGTGGTTTACAACCATCATTAACTCCAAGGGATCTGACACCCTCTTCTGACCTCCATGGGCTTTGCATGATATCAGTGTCTCGCATTCATACACATAAAATAAAAATAATAAATAAAAGATTTAAAAAATGCTAATCTCTTCCCCACAGTTATGGCCCACCTGAGGTTCTCTCCATGTTTGCATTCAGCTCTAGATGATCAAAGCTGTCTAATGAAACATGGGGAGTGTGGGTGACAGGAGACCTGGCTGAGGGAAAATTACTCAATGGGAAATAGCATTTAATAGGGCTGTTAAATTCCCTACAAATCATTTATTACAGTTTCACGCACACATACACACAACTAATCAAAACCAGAAATGAAGCAATTAATTCTAAGGACAAAAATTACACTAGAAAGGAGATGCCACATATATTTAAGGCTTAGTTACATTTACAGAGTAACCATAAATACTGATTTACTCTAAAACTGGCATATCTGTAAGTATTTACATACAAGAAGGATGAGGGTGGGAGACAGTGGAAAGCTAAGGAAGTATCAGAAGTCCATCCACAGAGGAAGTAAACAGATAAGGTCTGAAGTTAGCAAATGTAGCAATAATCATACAGCATGTTATTCAGGAAAAATGGGAAACAGAATAAACAGCCAACGGTTTAGGGAAAGGGATTTATAGGACTGTATGTTGCTATAATTTAGCAATTATTTGTTTTTTTTTATTGGTGAACTCTTATGGATCTTATGAATTTGACTAAGTAAATCTCAGATTTTAAGATGTTTGTAAATGTTTTATGGACTAAATTCATGTTTCTGACCTTAGAAAAAAATTTTTTTTATCCTTTTGTAACTGTAAAAATAAAGTACAAAAAGTTTGCAAAGCTAATGAAGATTCTTTTTTTGTGGGGGATTAAACCCATGGTTTTATGTATGTTAAGCATGTACTTTACCAGAGAACTGCATCCTTGACCCCAAGTGAAGATTCTTTTTTATATTTTATTTATTGTTTTTATTTTATTTTATGTGTATTATGTACTGCCTGCATGTAAGTAAGTGCATCCATGCTGTTCAGTGCCCAGAGAGGTCAGAAGGAGGTTTCAGATCCCCTGGAACTGGAGCTATGGATGGTTATGAGCCACCATATGGGTACTGGGAATGAAGATTCTTAAATGATATTTTAAAATATAAGATTAATTACTGATAAGGAAATTCTTTGGGGGACTAGACAGATGACTCAGCAGTTAAGAGCACTGGCTGCTCTTGTAGAGGACCCGGGTTAGGTCCCCAGCACTCAAATGGCAGCTAACAACCATCAGTAACTCCTGTTCCAGGAGATCCAGCACTTTCTTCTGGCTTCCATAGGCATTGCACGACATGGGTGCACTTACAAACATGCAGACAATGCACTCATATGCATAAAAAAAATTAATAAAAATTCTTTGGACCTGGGAATGCAGGTCAGTGGCAGATTACTTGTCTAGTATGTGTTGAGATCCTAGGTTTGATACTCAGTGCTGGAAAAAAAAAAAAAAAGGAAAGAAAGAAAAGAAAAACAAAACAACCCTTATCCCTAACAATCAAATCTTTGCTAAATTCTGAACACTGAGGTCCAACTGAGCTTGTAACACTGGAGGCTGTTAACAATCCCACTGGGAATGTGCTCTTCTCCTGCAGGATAAAGGAATGCATGGAATACTAGAGACATTTGGGCTGAGAAACACTAGAGTACTCAGGAAAAACAGAGATGACAATCTTTCGTCAAGCCAGGGGAGGACTGCTTTAGAATGAAAGCTTCAGTGAGATGAAACAGATCTTCTACACAGAAGACATTTAGGGTCCATCTAGGGTTGAAGAGATGGCTCAGCAGTTAAGAACTCTGGTTGTTCTTGCAGAAGACCCAGGTTCGAATCCCAGCATCCACATGGCAGCTAACAACTGTCCATAACTCCAGTCCCAGGGGACCTGAAAGCCTCTTCTGACCTCTGCAGGCATTGCACAATACAGGTGCACTTACCTACATGCAGGCAATATATGCATACACGTAAAATAAAAATAATAAAATTAAAAATAATAATAAAGACTCCATCTATTCTCATGAGTTGAACAGAAGTCACTGTTAATGATTCGCATATTTACAAGAGTTGATTACTTGGTTCCAAATGGTTTGTCATTTGTTAATAATATTTCTATAACCAAAATAGTTCAAGCTGATGAAAAAGAGCTGTGCATAAGGATATTTTAGAAAGAATGCACAACGATAAAAATATATAAATGATAAAAACAATATATTTATGTTTTAGGATAAAATAATAAAGTATATAAATATATATATACATACAAAATTTAAAAAGAAAACCCTCTATCCTTCAAAGTTGACTCTTTTGAGTATATGGCCACTTACTCGTCCTAATAATTACACAGATCATTAAATTTATTGACCTAAACATAACAGAAAGAAAGAAAAACTTGAGAAGAAGATGGTATTTTAAAAACCCAGTATCTGACAGGGAGACAATACAGTTCCTGGGTAGGCATACATAATTCTAAAGTCAGACTGTTAAATCAAAACTCTTCCCAGCTACTCATGTCCACAGGAGTTAGCTGAGCCTCAATTCTTCACTTATAAAATGGGAAAACAGTACCAACTATTTCAGTTATCATTTTCCATCAGATGAAGAGGAAGTTAGAAGAAAAAGTAAACTGCTTTTCAATCCAACCAGAAGCACATGCTTTCATTGACTCCATCTGGAATTAGAGGAGCATAGTGCCATCTATTGTCCAACTTTGTGAACTGCAACATACTTTCTTGTATAACTTGCCTAATCTTTTTGGGGGGCGAAGGCATGGTGAGACAGTCTGGTCTCAGATTCCTGATCCTCCTGCTTCAGCCTCTTGAGTGTTATAATTACAGATGTGTATCACCATGCCTGGCCTAACTTAGTTTTTGTGAAAAATGTTTTCTACCACAGAAATAAGACATTTCTTACTATACTGAGGATATTTGCAGAAAAACAAATACAAACGAAAGCATTATTCCATTAGAACATTCCTCCTTGCTCTAGTTATTTCCACCCTAATTTTCTGCACTTTCTGCAAATACCTACTGTTAGCTACTAGAAATGCCAAGAAAGAACCTGGCCTGGTGGACTTGTAATCTCAGCTGCTCAGGAAGTTGAGGCAGGAGGATCACCAAGTTCAGGGCCTACCTGGGCTACAAAGTGAATTCTAGGCAAGCCTAGAGCAACCAGTGAGATTCTGTCCCAAAATAAAAAGTTAACAACAACAACAACAACAACAACAACAACAACAACAACAGCTGAGCTACAGTTAAAAGACAAGAGTGCTTGTCTAGCATGGGAAAGGCCTTAGGGTCAAGCCCTAGTAATAAACAAACAAACAAAACCCCAACTCCAAAACAACCAGAAATCCCAAGAAAGGTGGAGAAGTTTTGTTCACATGTGAACACATGTGAAGCCTCTGATCACATGAATCAAGGTTAGACCACAGATCATTTTTCTTTTTTCCTAGTCCCAGTGAGTTATTTAAAATTAAGTTGCCAGCTATGAATGTAGCTTTCTGGCTGGCTGGGAACTTGCTATGTAGACCAGGCTGGCCTGGAATTCACAGAGATCTGTTTACCTCTGTCTTTGCTGGGATTAAATGTGTGTGTCACTACGCCAGGCTATTATGCTTCTTTTTAAAGCAAGAAACCACAGGGAACTGGAGAGATGGCTTGGCAATTTGGAATACTTGGTGCTCTTACAGAAGTCCCGAGTCCAATTCCTAGCACCCGTGTCAGGCAGTTCCCAAATGCCTGTAACTAACTCCAGCTCCAAGGGATCAGATGTCCTCTTCTGGCCTCCTCAGGACCCTCCTCCCCTCAATGGCATTCATTCACATGGACACACATAGATAAAAAAAAATAGAAGATATTTGAGGGGAATCTTGACCATTTTAATTACATAAAGAAGAAAACTTTAGCATTATACTTAAAGACTTCTGATTTTCCTTTCTTTTGGGACTGAGTATGTACCTGTGTTTGAAGGGGTATTGGAGTGTGCGTGTGGACATGTGTGTGTGTGTGTGTGTGTGTGTGTGTGTGTGTGTGTGTGTGTGTGTATGTGTGTGTGCATATGCACATACAAATACTATGATTTTCCTGTTTCAAAGACTTTAGAAAATAAGCAACACAAAGGGTGGTGAATGGATTCACTTATTTTTCCCATGTGTACTCAGGGTTGGACATAAATGCAGATGTCTGGTATAGTCCCAATTTAAGAAGGAAATTCTCAAAAAACTAGCTCTATATGTGTTATCTGCCAGTATGAATGGTAAATCAGAAATTTAGATCAACTCACTGTGCTTATTTAAATGAGATCATCTATACAGGGTTGCAATTTAAAGTGTATAATCATAGAAAATAAACACAGCTGAACATATGTCACGGCTGAATTTTAGTATCTTATTTCTATATCAAAACTCCTCCACACATTCAAATTTCTCTTAATAGACAT